TGACTGCTTAGAAGGCCCTACCCTAGTTACATATCTCACTGTCCACTGCATTAACCATGCCAATGCAGCCACCCCCACCAAGCCTATGGGAATGGTGCACCAGGTTAACATTTCCTTGGCCCATACTCTCCCCTCACCCACTTTACTTCAGTTCTTGGTCTCTTTTCCCATATCAGGGACATCATCAACGCTCTTCCAAAACTCATTCTCAGTTTCGTTGTAGCCTGTTTATGACAGCAATTGTTAGTCAAATTCACTGCTGGGAGGCACACATGGCATCCAATCCCCTCCTCCCATGGTCCTTGCAACAACCTGAGAAAAGAACTCTACAAACCCCAGTTGAAGAATCTTAACTGGTTTATTGGACTTGCTAACTGAGCTTCGGGTGCACGTTTACTTACAGAAGAGTGGGCGCCCCCCCATTCATGGCTGTGTTTGAAAGTCCACACCCAAACATAAATCACGTGGTTCCAGATAGCCTCACAAAATGGCAAGAGACTGGCCTCGAGGTTTTCCCAGCTTTTGTACCTTTAGCTCCTCCCCTGCAAACAGATATGGTTAACCAATTGGCTGGAAGAAGGAAGGGGAATAATGCTTTTGCAGAGTGTGGGCAGGAGGCGGGTCCATGGCTTGTCATCACAGGGTCAGAGGAATATTTGGGTCATGACATATAAGGGAGAACATACATTGTTTTTTTTTTTTTTTCTGAGTCCGTGTTGCTTCACTTAGTATAACAGTTTCTAGTTCCATCCATTTACCTTCAAATTTCATGATTTCATCTTTCTTACTTCTGAGCAAAACTCCATGGTATAAATGAACCACATTTTCATTATCCACTTGTCAATTGAGGGACACTTAGGTTGCTTCTATCTCTTAGCTATTGTGAAAAGAGCAGCAACAAACATGGATGTACAAGTTGGGTATATGCCAAGGAGTGGTATAACTGAGTCAAAAATTTTTGTATCTGTTTATATACTTCAGATGTTATCCATGGTCAAGAACATAGTTTTCAAGGTTGTATCTCATTCCCTAGACTTCTTTTTCTGGTTATGTGAAGAATATCATTGAAATTTTGACAAGGGTCTTCCTGAGTCTGTAGATTGCTTTTGGTAATGTCCTCATTTTCGCAATCTTAATTTGCTGCTCAATGAGCATGGGAGATTTTTCCAACTTCTAGTGTCTTCTATTCTTTTCATTGTGAAAATTTTCACACGCTTAGGTTGTCCCTAGGTTTCTTTCCTTAGGTCATTCTCAGTGGTACTTTCCCACGTCCAATTTCCTTCATTTTAAAGTTGGCTATTAGTTTATCGAAAGCTGTTGATATTGTACTATGATTCTTGTTAAATATGAGTTTTCTGGTGGAGGTTTTAGGGCTTTCAAAATATAAGATCATGTAATATGAAACTAAGGTTACTTTGAAATCCTTTTAATTTCTGTACATTTTTGTGTTTGTTACTTTTTGCTGCTAAGATAAAATATATGACAAAAACAACTTAAGAAAGAATTTACTTCAGCTCCCAGTTGAAGTTATAGTCCATTATCTGGGAGAGCCATGGCAGGAGTGGAAGGCAGCTAGTCACATTGTGTCCACAGGCAGGAAACAGAAAGATAGAAAGTGCTCAACTGGATTTCTCTGTTTTTCTCGGTTCGGTGTCCCAGCCATGGAGTTGGATCACCCACATTTAGGGTGGTTCTTCCAAACTCATTTAACCCAATCTAGAAGCTCCTTCACACACATGCTCAGGGGTTTGTCTCTTAGGTTATACTGATACAAAGTTGATAACCAACACTAACCATCAGACTTATTTCTTTATCATATATTGCTGCACTAAGACTTCAAGCACCATATTGAGTAAGAGTGGAGAGCGGGGGCACCCTCATTCTCTTCCAGGTTTTTATAAGAAATGCTTTTAGTTTTTCTCAATTTATCTTTTGCTGTGCTGAAATATGTTCCTTCTATTTCCAATTTCTTTGAGACTTTTTTCATGAAGGAATATGAAACTTCATACTGAAGTTTCAAATATGAAAACCAAATGCTTTTGCTGTATCTATGGAGTTGATCATATGTTTTCTACCCTTTACTGTTTAGATGTTGTATTACATTTATTGACATGTTTATATTGAACCAACTTTACATCCTTGGTATGAAACCAATTTTTTCAGGATGAGTGATCTCTTTAATATATTCTTGAATTCAGCTCACAAATATTTTAATAATTTTTTGAGCTTTTGTACATTTCATACAATAGCTCTTAATCAAATTTAAACCCCTTTTTCTCATCCCAACAAGGGACCTCATGTATTCTGCTATACATGTTAAGTCTTATCCAGTCAAGCATTTGTACCCATTTTTGAGTCTGTGTTCACCAGGGAAAATGGTCTATAGTTCTTTTGTTGTTGTGTGCACTTACCCTATTTGGGTACCAGGATGATACTGTACCCATAGAATGGTACAGTATTCTATGATGCATCCTTTGTCTTTCTAGTTTATGGAACAGTTTGGGAAGAATTGGTATCAGCTTTGCCTGAAAAGTTTCAGACTCCAGTGGATGGATCCACACCAAAGGACACTTGGGGACACACACACACACACACACACACACACGTGTGTGTGTGTGTGTGTGTGTGTGTGTACATATGTAATAAAGTACATGAAATTGGATGGAGGTTAATAAAGAAGGTGAAGATAAGACAGGGCATTTAAATTTAAATACAACCAAAATATTTTGTATGAAATTCACAAAAATATCAGTAAAAAAGGAAAAAAAATTAAAATAGGAAGGGGAAAAGTCTCAGGCTTTTCTTTTTTTAAAAAATAATTAATTTTGATTTTTATGCCTATGTTTATTTTGCTTGCATGACTGTAAGTGCAACCATGTCATCAATGCCCATGGAGGTCAGCAAAGGGCGTTGGGTCCCCTGGAACCAGAGTTACAATGGTTCTAAGCCACCATATCAGTTCTGGGAACAGAACTTGGCCCTCTGCAAGAGCAGCCCATGCTCTTAACCACGGAGCCATCTCTCCAGCATTTTGGTGAAGGTGCAGCCCCAGTTGTAGCAGACATCCAAGACTGAAGGAGTCATGGAAAACTGGGGCTTGGCACCATGTAGCAGGGTTGGCATCCCTTAAGAAGCTGGGAGAGGCCATTGGTGAATGTGCAGCCTCAGTTTCAGTGGACCCTGGATACTGGACGTGCCAGTACTGTGGGATGACCAGCTAGGACAGCAGCAGGTATGGAATGGAGTCAGACAACTTATGTGGGCTGCAGGTGGCAAAGCTGGAGCAGTGGGACTGCTTTTTAGAGCCAGATATGCACGTGAGGAACAGTTACCAAAGAAAAGCACAGGTGAACTGCCTTACTTGATTGTGTGGTGCTGTCTATAGGGCTAGGTATTTGATAAAAGTATCAGACACTAGAAGTTCTGCATCTTATGGCATGAAAATGCTGCTTTCATTAGACCAGTTCAAAAACAACCAATAACAAGTAATATAAATACACATATGTACACTTAAGTAAGCAATGCATTTCCCATAGGTTGTTTATTTGCTTCCTTCCCACACTGTAGGGTCAGAGGCACCAGAGAGTCTCAAGGGGGAAACTCTAAAGCTCACCAAGCCTGTATAATACACCCCAGATCTCCATGCCTCAGCTTCTGAGACACTAACACAACTCCACCTCTCATCTTTTTAGAGGGAGTGTGCTTCTTGCCCTGCCCTACTACTCTGTATTTTTTTACGTCAGCGACAGTAGTTATCAGTACTGGAGGCCTTCTGACCTGGGAAATACTGTGACTTCAACCACAGTAAGGGAAAATACTAACATAAAATAGATTTTTAAGAAATTGTTAACCTCATTTGAGATTTTCACAGGTATCACATATTCATTTTTTATGACCTGAATCTATAAAATATGTGGCAGATGAGATATTCTTATGTTTGATATGATAACAAAGAGGAGGTCAGTAATCCCTCCATCAAGTGGGGGAAGACACAATCAGCTTAGAAGCTGATCCATGCTAATGGTCATTCCAGTTTTTCTACCTAGAGAACTTGGAATACATTGAAAACTACCTAAGAGAGTGTGAGTCTGTAATCACTAGACCATGTTCCATGACTGACTTCTCTCAGACTACCTGTTCTGGATTAATGAACTTCTCTCCTCTAGCTGGTAAGTTTCATGAGTTTGCGTGTACAATATAGTAAGATGCATAATTCATGCAAAGATGGGCATATATACTCACTGTGTCTTATGGAAAAGGGGAATAGGTTTCAATACTTAAATAAAACTCCTTGTATTAGATTGCAAAATTGTTCATTATAGGGAATTTACCAATTGTCATGATTTTTATTGTGATTATTCTTGCAATAATATGAAAAACCAGGAAAAATAACACTCGGTCAGAATTTTTGTTAATATTACAAATTCTTTGAATAGTTTTCTACCATTTTAGTAAATAGATATGTGGAAAACATAACAGAAAGTAATAAAATTGAAATGTTAATCATTTAAAATATAAAATTTCCCTAACTAGATGAATATATTTACAATTCATTTCGTCCTTTTCTCCAAATTTATGACATCATTGAGAGGAGATGGTGAACAGAATCTAAAATGTTACACAAGTTCTTGGCAGGTGAGGAATATGGACATGTCAGACTTTCACTTTGAGCTTGGAGAAGTGGTCTGACAGGTAAATATCATTTCCATGTCATTTTTGTTGTTATTAATTTGCTTACAGCTTGACATACAAATGTATTTTAAATTCCATATATGAATTGATACATTTCTGCAGATTCAGTATTGTGTATTACTTTAGCTTGAACACTGAATTGAGTTTTCAAGTCCAGGCTTTTTTTATGAGTTTCTTTTAGAGCAAGCTTTTACTGAAATGAATGAATATATCTTGTATTTATGCTATTCAAGATCAAGTAATTTGTCATACTGTTCCTTTATTTTCCTTGTTTCTGTAGAACTTCTAGAGATTATCAGAGATTACTGATGGCAAACAGGACAGAAGTGACACAGTTCATCCTGCTGGGACTCACTGATGACCCAGGCCTGGAGGTTCCCCTTTTTATCACCTTCCTCCTTATCTACATCATATCCCTGATTGGGAACCTGGGGATGATCCTGCTGATTCTCTTGGACTCTCGGCTCCACACTCCCATGTACTTTTTCCTAGGTAATCTTTCCCTGATTGATTTTTGTTACTCTTCAACTATCACCCCAAAAGTCATGACTGGTTTCCTATTCAGAGACCAGGTCATGTCCTACAATGACTGTGCTGCTCAGATGTTCTTTTTTGCAGCCTTTGCTACTGTGGAAGATTTCCTGTTGGCCTCCATGGCCTATGACCGCTATGCAGCAGTGTGTAAGCCCTTGCACTATGCCACCACCATGACTACGCGTGCATGTGCAGGGTTGGTCATAGGCTGCTATGTTCATGGTTTCTTGAATGCCTTTTTATATACTGGGAACACATTTAGTCTCTCCTTCTGTAAGTTCAATGTGGTCCATCATTTTTTCTGTGATATGCCAGCAGTCATGGCTCTTTCTTGCTCTGACAGACATGTGAATGAGTTGGTTCTTATTTGTTTAGCCAGCTTCAATATCTTTTTTCCTCTCATAATTATTTTAGTATCCTACATGATAATTTTTGTCACCATTCTAAAGATGCACTCAGGAGCAGGACATCAGAAGGCCGTGTCCACCTGTGCCTCCCACTTCACTGCAGTCTCCATTTTCTATGGAACCATCATTTTCATGTACTTACAGCCTAGCTCCAGTCACTCCATGGACACAGACAAAATAGCGTCTGTGTTCTACACCATGGTCATCCCCATGCTGAACCCACTGGTCTACAGCCTGAGGAACAAAGAAGTCAAGAGTGCATTCATGAAGGTTATATTGAAGGAGAAATAGTCTTTTTGATCATAATCTTAAGTGTGTGGAGTATACTATATCAAGAGTCATATCATTTCAATGTACTTACAGTTAAAACTTGTACTAATTCTATTTCTTGAGCTTTTAAACTTTCCTTCTGCAATAGTGTTTTTTCCCCCTGGGGGGAAAGGGAGGATCATGTAAAGAAATATAATAGCCAATTGAGAATAATTTTGATACTTTGTGCCTATTTATTAACAGCATTAATATCAATATTTCCACAATCCATAATTCTCTTTGTACTTTTCCTTTGATATATTTTAATGGCTAATCTTCATTGTCAACCTGTCTGAATTTAGAACGTTCATAGAAACCTTTATTGTGTCTATGAGACTGGTTCCAGAAAGTTTTAAGTGAGAGGTGAAGACACACCCTGAGTGTGGGTGGCACCATCACGGACTGGGATTCCAGTCCTAGTGAAGAGAGAAATTGAGTTGAGTCCTAAAATGCATCTGTAAGCCTCCTGATTATACACACACTATAACCTCATGGTCCTGCTAACATGACTTCCCTGTCCTGAAGCTTTTCAAATCATAAGTTCATAAGTGAACTTTTTCTTTCTTAGTTGGTTTATTTTTGAACCCTATGTTTTAATGAGTTTTTTGTAAATGACATACAGCATATTTTGGTCCTATTTGGACTCTACTCTATCTATACCTTCTTATAGAATCACCCCTCTGGATTTCACGTACTCTGCCATATATACTAAGGCCTATTAAGTCCAATTTGTGTCCCACAAATGTCCTTTGGTGTGAACCCATCCACTGGAGCCTGGTTACCCTATCTAGCATCACATCCTTAAAGAAAATTGAGTCTTCCTCTCCCAGTTATTATCTATTGCCAATAGTTCTTCATCTGCAGTTGGAACTTCTGTCAGGCATTTTGTCACAGCAAAAGGAACGATAACTAAAATAGCTATCAATACAAACATACACGAAGCATGTGTAAAGTAGCCCGTGAGCTGAAGAAGTGCCTGAAGAAGTCCTCCGAGGACAAATGCCAACAGGAGCAGCAAACTTGGCACAGCTAAGTGCTACACAGCGATTTTGTCAGTTATGCCATGTTTTAACTTAAGGGGACAAAATGAAATTCGTGGGTTGTTAGCAAATGTTGTGTATGTGTGGATGCTTCTGAGATAGCTTCATGTTGGACTATGTAGACATAGGAAAGGGCGTCTCTCACCAAAAAAGGTAGAATTTTTGGATTAATGGAAAGTCTTCTAAGATTGTATAGAATGTTTCTACATGATACTGTGGCTGACTTAATAATGGATCATAAAGAGATCCACATCCTGACTCAGAAATCTTTCAATATTATTCTTCATAGCCCAAATGGACAAAGACAATGTGATTGAGTTAAGGGCTTATTTTTATTTATTTATTTGTTTGTTTATTTTAAAACGTATTTATATTTGTAATGTTATGTGTACGAGTGTATTTATGTGTACGAGGTCAGAAGAGGGCTTTGGATTCCCCTTCAACTGGAGTTAAGGATGGTTTGTAGCTACCATGTGGGTGCTGGGAATTGAACTCCGGTCCTCTGCCAGAGCAGTCCATGTCCTTAACTGCAGAGCCATCTCTCTAGCCTCAAAAGTGTATTTTTTAAATTATTTTTATTTTATGTGTATGAGTGTATTGCCTGCATGTGTAGAAGTGTACCCATGTTGTATAATGCCCACAGAGGTCAGAAGAAGGCATCAGATCCCCTAGAACTGGATCTATAGTTGGTTGTTAACCACAGTGTGGGTGCTGGGAATGGAGCCTTGTTCCTCTGCAAGAGCAGTCAGTGCTCCTAACTGCTCAGCCATCTCTCCAGGCCCTGAGTTAAGGATTTTAAGAATGAGGCATTATCAAGAAGGAATGCAAATGGATCAGAATATTTACAGAATGTTCAACACTCTTAGCCATCAGGGAAATGCAAATTAAAATTCCTTTGAGACTTCTGTCTTACTGCAGTCAGAATGGTTAATATCCCAAACAGCAGCAACAACACAAGAACAAATGCTGGCATGCATGTGGGGAAAGAAGAATTTTATTTGTTTTGGTATGAGTGAAAATTGTTATGGCAACTAGGGGAACCATTGTGGAGGTTGCTCAAAAAGCTAGAAATACATCTACCCCATGATATAGCTATACCACTCCTGATCATATTCCCAAAGGACTCGATATCCTAAAAAAGAGATGGGTGTTCACCTATGTTCATTGCAGCTCTAGTCACAATAGCTGAGAAATGGAAATAGCCTAGAGGTCCATCAACCAATGAATGGATAATAAAAATGTAGCACATATACACAATAGAATATTACTTAGCTATAAAGAAAAAAATGAAACTGATAGAAAAGTGGTTGAAACAAGAAATAATCATTCTGAATGAGGTAATGGAGACATAAAAGATGTTCTCTCTCACAACTTTGTATCTTTAGATATGTGGATATGTGGTGGAAGTTGAATTACCCATAGGAGGCAGGAAATTAGTAAGGGACTATGGGGGATTTCAAGGGTAGACGGATAGAACACAGGTGGTATGGAGGGGAAAAGGGGAACAATGGAACAGCAAGAGTTAAATGGAATGGGGACTGGGAGATCACGGTAGAAGGGGAAGTGTGGTCCAGGATAACTACAGCAAAGACCTTTGAAGGGCCACTTGGAAGCACGCTACTGTATAAGCTTCTAAAATATCTGCATATACATATGTCAGTTAGTACAACAGTGGAGGAGGTGGTTATGGGTAAACCAGCTTTCTGATTGAACTTAAGGCCTGCTCCGTAAGTAAAATTCGCATTATAACTAGGAATTTAGATGAAAACCTGTGACCAGGAAAGTCATAGGCCTCACTGGGGAAATATCTGCTGTTGCTTTAGATGCTAAGGTACTTCCCAACACTCTTGTTTTTAACCATAGGATATTAGGCTGTCAGTGTCTATTTGGATATGTTTCTGTTCCCTGGTTTCCACATCTTCTTCACTTGTGGATTCTTTCTACGAGAAAAACATCACCAAGTCTCTCCACTATCTATGCTTTGGCAACCTGGGTAAATAAAAAGATAGATGTGATGGTTTTGTTCCCTACTGGAGTTATAGGACAGTGGTCAGACTTCTGTGTCAGTCTCTCCATGGCCCAGGAGCCATTGTAGAAGAGGCAGCAGAAAGGCCACAAAGCCAGAAGAGGGGTAAACTTTTGTGTAGCAATTTCATCCAAGATTAACTATTCCATCATGTAGGGGATCTCATTAAGTCTCAGAAAGCAAACACCTCAACAGCTTCAGGAAATCCCTGAAACTGACAGTATTCACTGTCCCTTCCTCCTCAAGCTTGAATAAGGCAATAAGGACTTGTGAGAAACATTCTCAGATCAGCCAAGCTGCCTGAAAGAAACAGGTTCTGACCTGTTGAGCTGCCTGGAAGTCATGCAGTAAGCTCAAGTGTTTGGCTTTGGTGAGATATCACTCATGCTAGATTGGACTTCTGATGATGTACCTGTCTTTGAATGATTTCTGTGTCTGGTAAGTAACCCTTCACTCCTACTCCTGTAAGTAGCCCCAATAAATGTGTTGATCCACCGAGTTGGACTTTGAGGGTTTCTTTACTTTGGACTGTTGTCAATTAAAAAAATTATGTGTATGAGTGTATTGTCTGAATGTATGTAAGTGCATGTGTGTCATGCAATGCTCACAGAGTCAGAAAGTGGCAACAGATTCCCTTGGAACTGTAGTTACAGATGGTTGTTAGCTGCAATGTGAGTGCTGGGAATCGAACCCAGGTCTTCTGCAAGAGCACCTAGTTCTTTCAACCACTGAGCCATCTCTCCAGCCTTCCAGGCCCATGTTGTAAATTCTCTATCTAAAGTGAGTAGATGTTTGTTCATCTATCTCCATGTTTAGTGTCATACAATAGTTGATAAGTGGGTTCTCATAAAACCCTCCCTCCCTCAGACATTACAGACTGATGCCATTGCTCCTAGATGCCCTCCAGAACTTGATGGTAAGACCCTATTTGTAAAGACACTACATCCTTGTATCATAGCATACAGAGAAATAAAGTTGGAACCAACCTGGAAGCTTCATCCCTACTGGCAGTTTTAATAGACTTGGACATTCCTATGCATAATGCCTATGGAGTAAAATAATCAACAGCCTTACCTGGCTGTGAATCCTTTAAGCTACTATAACAACTGGCCTGGAAAATATGCCAGAGGGTGAAATAGGGGAGTAACCAATTACTTTCTGATCATATTTAAAGCCTGTTCCACAAGACAAAACTAATGCCTGGTACCATTAACTGGGACACAAACCCATGCCTGGCTAGGTCATAGGTTCTAAGGGAGTACTCAATAGTATTATTCTGCTAAAATGGACATGGCAATAAACTGTCTCCTATGTTCCCATTTTATATCTATAGAATAGTATAATTCTCAACTCTCATCAGAGAAGCTTCTTTTGACAGTAGATTGTGATTAACACAGAGATCTGTGACTGGTCAAAGTGCAGAGAATAAGATACTTTGGGGTGCTCAGTTCTAAATGGGACATTTCTATAACATTCCCTATCGTGGAGGTTCAAGCAGAAAGATTGTAATGGCCAGAGGTAGTGAATGTCTTCAGCAAAACAGTGTTTGCTGGACATGAGCAGGGCCATTGCACACCTGAATTCAAAGTAGCTGTGACAGTGCAGGCAAAAGGATTGCACAGGATCAAGGCAGACAAGACCTTAGCATGAATGGGGGAGGGACTCACGAGGTCCCACTTGTAGCTGAGTAGCTTCTGGAAATTGATGGCTGCTGGTAGATGGAGAGTTACATTTATTTAGGGAAACTGCTCCAGAGAGGCTACCCTTGCTCCAGCTGATTGTCCTGTACCCATGCACATGCAGGCAGCAGTAAGCGGACTCAGTGTGTCAAACACAAGAGCACATAAAGTTGGTAGGGAAAAGTGATGGTAAGAATAGTGGGAAAATTGGAGGTGAAGGAATGGGGCTTCGATTGG